AATATGAATCTGCCTAGGTATTACAATGAATATTTTACTCATCCAATCAAAAAACAGTAATTTGATGACGTCATACATATTTAAAAATAGTTTAATTGAATTCAGCAGGTTTGAAAACCCCTTAAACAGTCTTAACATTAACATAATCATAATTTTCTTATGAGTATTGACTTTTGGCACACTTTGAAACAATTCTGGCCCACTGTGCGCCGGTGTGCGATTTTTTTTCCGTACGAAACATTTACATGAAACTCCACTCGGGCCGTCTCGGCTGAATCGACCCGAAAATCTCATTGCAGAATTCAGGAGGTCAAAAGGTCATCAACAGATAAACGTCTACAAAACAACTTCTGAGAGAATGTTGCTGTCTAATTTTAAAAAATACATTGATGTTACTATGTTAATACCAATGGGTCGTTTAAATGACATATAATATTTGATTAGCTGCACGAGTAATGAAAAGTGTTATTTTAACTTGAGTTACATACTATGACAATTTTAATTGTTTAGTTAGGCCTTGGTTTTGCATAATTACCTAGGCCTACTAAGACCCATCTGGGAAAAGCACAAAGAGTAAGGAAAAGCGCGTTTTTCTTCATCAAATGAAACAGAATGACAGTTATTTTTAAATTAAGAGAAGAGCTGAGAATAGGCAACTCTAAAATACTGGATGCCATAAGACTTGCCAAAATGGCAGAGCACCAAATGAATGTAAAAATGAGCTAGTTATTAATACTAGGCATAGTAATCGGCAGGTTCTTGATTACAAGGCTAGACCAAGTTAATTACATGTAATGCCGAAATGATTATTATTATTATTATTATTATTATTATTATTATTATTATTATTATTATTATTAATTATCATTATTATTACCTGTACCTTAAGAGGAACTTATAGACAATGAAGTAATTAGAGAACAATTAAAAAAACGACGTTAATGGGAAACATTGTCTTAAGGCCAACTCAGACAGCGTCGGCCGACGCAGCCCGACGCGATTTATCGTCGCGTCGGGCTGTCTGAGTTGAATACAGACGCGATGGGTAGTCGTGAGGCTGCGTCGGGGGTAGTTTTTGGTCGTCGGGGAAATATTAAACATGTTTAATATTCCCCGACGAGACGACTCGTTGGCTGCTTGATTGACCAATCGCGTGCATTTATTTACAATCGAGGGCGGTCATCAGTCATCAAAAAGTTTTGAGTTCAGTTTGTCGCGATGGATCAAATGGCTCATCCACAGCAAGAGGAATGGACAGAAGATGCCGAGGAAGTACTAATAAACCTTTGGAGGAATGAGCCCTGCCTCTACGATGTTAATGCAAAAATTTACAGCAATAAGCATATGAGACAAAAAAAGATTGAGGAATTTAGCGTTATCGTGGGGAAAAGTGGTAATTGACGTTCATGTACCAATTTTTGACCGACTGTCCCCGACGATAAATCGCGTCGGCCGACGCTGTCTGAGTTGGCCTTTATAAACGTAACGCTGATACACTGAGACACTGAGACGCTGATACACTGGGACGTTGATACGCTGAGACAAAGATGACGTCATTGAAATTCACCGCAAAGTCATAATGCACTGAGTGGAATCGAAAGTGCAGGGTTCTCAAGTACTACGGAACGTCTGTAGTTTAAATACAGAAATTCGGCCCAATTACGGACGTACGGAAATATAGATAAATACTACGGAAATACATATAAACTACGGAAAATTACAATAGAGCCTATATTTATGGGAAAGCCCCAACATTTCACGATAATTCATAAAGTAAAATCAACGATCCACTCCACGTACGAGTTAAAAATACGTAACAGTCTGCTAGCTCAAACAAAAGCAAGCATAACAATACAAGCAGTGGTGTGGTGAGCGTGATGGCCAATCAGAATCGTGTTTAGAGCAAGAAGTCATGACCTTATATTATGCAAAAACTTTTTCGATGCTAAAAATAACAGTCTACTACGGAAGCTTAAAGTGACCTTCCGCGTTTCCGAGTTTCCAAGATAATTATCATGGAAACATGGAATAAATACTTATTAAGACGTCTTTCCGAGATAATTTATCTCGGAAAGACGGATTTCCGAGATAATTTATCTTGGAAAGACGGAATTCCAAGATAATTTATCTTGGAAAGACGGAATTCCAAGATAAGGTATCTTGGAAAGACGTCTTTCCAGTATAATGTATCTAGGAAAGACGGAATTCCAAGATAACGTATCTTGGAAAGACGGAAGTCCAAGATAAATTATCTTGGAAAGACGTCTTTCCAAGATATGCTATCTTGGAAAGACGGAATTCCAAGATAACAACGATTGGAAAGACGGAATTCCAAGATAAAGTATCTTGGAAAGACGGAATTCCAAGATAAAGTATCTTGGAAAGACGGAATTCCAAGATAAAGTATCTTGGAAAGACGGAATTCCAAGATAAAGTATCTTGGAAAGACGGAATTCCAAGATAAAGTATCTTGGAAAGACGGAATTCCAAGATA